GTACCGGAGTCTTGTCAAGAGAAGGTACTCCGAGAGTTACATCATTCACGCCTTGTGGTGCATCCGGGAGGCACAAACACGTATCATGATCTGAGTCACCATTTTTGGTGGAGAGGTATGAAGAAGGACGTAGCCGTGTTTGTATCGAAGTGCCTCACTTGTCAACAAGTGTAGGCCGAACATCAGAGGCCAACGGGTTTGTTGCAACCCTTGCCTATAGCCGAGTGGAAATGGGAGCATGTCACGATGGATTTTGATATGGGTCTTCCGAGGACTCAACGGGGTAGTGATGCCATTTGGGTGGTAGTTGGCCGGTTGACTAAGTCGGCACACTTTATAAGTATGCATGCAAGTGATTCAGTGGACTATCATGCCAACCTTTATATTAGGGACATAGTGAGCTTACACGGGGTCCCTGTGACAATAGTTTCGGATAGAGATCCGCATTTTAGAGCTCAACTATGGCAGAGCTTGCAGTGTGACTTGGACACTAGGCTGACTTTTAGTACTGCGTACCATCCTCAAACTGACGGACAGTCTCAGCGTACTATTCAAACCCTTGAGGATATGCGTTGAGGCTGTGTCCTTCACTTTAAGGGGTCGTGGGAGAGGCACTTGCCCTTAGTGGAGTTTGCCTACAATATGGCATGGCACCATTTTAGGCCTTGTATGGCCGACCTTGCAGATCCCCAGTGTGTTGGGCCGAGGTGGGTGATGCACCTTTCTTGGGCCTATTCTCGGTGCGAGAAATGACAGAGAAAGTGGTACTTATCCATAAGAGGTTAGCTACGGCCCAGAGTCGTCAGAAAAGTTATGCCGACCGCAGAAGGAGACGCTTCTCTTTTGAGATGAGAGACCATGTGTTTTTTAAAATAGCACCTAGGCGGGGTTTGATGAGATTCAGAAAGAGGGGGAAGTTGTCCCCTCAGTTCATTAGGCCTTTTGAGATCCTTGAGCTGGTCAGAGAGATTGCTTCCCGGTTGGCATTGCCGCCACAACTTTTCAGAGTGCATGACGTGTTTCATATCAGTATGCTTCAGAAGTATGAACCAGATCCATCGCACGTGTTGGATTGGACCGACTTGGAGGTAGATGAGGATGCCTCATATGAGGAGAGACCGGTGAGAATCTTGGATATGAGGGACCAAATCTTGTGAGGCAAGACAATTCTTTTAGTTAAAGTTTTGTGGAAACATCACTGGGTCGATGAAGCAACTTAGGAACGAGAATTGGAAGTCTGAGAGAATTATCTGGACTTGTTTGTTGGTGCTTGAACATGTATTGAGGTTTTAATTGTGTTAATGAGAAATATAAGCATTTTATATGTTTTGACTTACGAAAACATTGTATATGTTAAGGGCATTTTGGAAACATGTATTCAACATAAGTATTGTACATGTTTTGAGAATAATGGAATGTTGTGCGTGTTGTAGCACTTTTGGAAAGCATTGTATATGCCATGTAAAAATTTGAGAACGTGGACCCTGGTTTAAACATTGTATATGTTTTGAGGAAATTGTAAATTTCATTTTTATATATGGGACTTGTGTATCGAGTCAATGAGGATGGATGACCAGAGAATGGGTCATGGTATTGAATTTGTGAGAATAACGTTATTGTGAATGGCTTTATTTTGATGCAGAACTTGATTTGTAATTTCGCGGACGAAATTCTTCAACGAGGGAGGTTGTAGTGATTTCGGTTTTGACCCGTTATTTATTGTATTTCGAACTTGGGTTGGTATGGTTTAGAATGATTATTCATGCCCTGTTCCCCTTGTCTCCCTTTATTTTGATTATCGGGTTGTAATTGTACGCTTGGAACAGATTGGTTGCTTGTATTTCAAAACTTGTGTTTCCCAGATTTTGGCTCTTCCGTTTGTGAGAATAACGTTATTGTGAATGGTTTTATTTTGATGCTGAACTTGATTTGTAATTTCGCAGATGAAATTCTTCAACGAGGGAGGTTGTAGTGATTCTGGTTTTGACCCGTTACTTATTGCATTTCGAACTTGGGTTGGACTTATTGTATTCCGGACTCGGGTTGGTATGGTTTTGAATAGTTATTCATATCTCTTTCCCTTGTCTTTCCCTTTATTTTGGTTATTAGGTTGTAGTTGTGCTTTTGGGGCAGGTTATTGCCTAGATTTTGGCTATTTCACTCGAGCAAGTATTCTCGCCCTCGAGCGGGCTTCACAACCTCCACTCTAGCGACCATTCTTGCGCTCAAGCGGGATTTGTCAATTCTCAATATTTCTTTTGCAGTTATGAAATACTGGGAAAGTGCATTGGAAGCTCGAGTGGGGTTTTCCACGCTCGAGCGGACTACACATATAACAGTTCGAGAAGATGATATTTTGAGTCACTTTTGCATATCTCGCTCTCTAAAACTTTTCAAAAAGCTTGTTCTTCAGCCTCTCTCTCTAGAATTAGCCTTCTCTCTTACATTTTATCTAGATCCATTAATCTTTTCACCCTAGTGCCTTTGAGAAAAAGGTAGAGCTTGTCAAGATCTACACTTTGATCCAAATAGAAGTGAGTTTCAACGTTCTTGGAATTTCTCCCATGTTTGACTCATCTTCTTCCTTTCAGGTAGGGATCTTTTCTACACATTCATATGATATTTAGCTTAGTTATGTGTATTCTGGGATAACAATGATGTGATTTGAGGGTGTTGTAAGCAAACCTAGGGTTTGGGTATATATGGAAAGAGGGATTGTTGTCAAACATGAAATACATGAATGTGGGTTTTGAAAATGAAATGGTGTTGGGTCACAATGGTTTGAAATGATATTTGGGGTCGATAATTAGGAAAGGGAAAGTTTTGCCCTAAAATGACTATCATGATTATTTTATAGAGATAATTGAAATTGCCATGGAAATGTGAAAGTGAGAGAGTATTGATATGAATGGCAGGATAAGTTATGCACTAACTAATTCTTTAGAAATTTGAATAAATTATCTGTCATGAAATTGAATATCTATTTAGAAATAATTGTATTGGGTTATCGGTGGAGGATAGCTATGATTATTGTAGAAATTGCATGAGGATTAGATGAATTGAAACTAATCTCTTGTTGTTTGACAATGGATAAGACTATACTTACATACATTGTAAATGAATGATTATGTGGGAGTGGAAAGGGGGATGTGCTTCATTGTTTGATGTTGTGTTTAAATACATTGCATATGTATGAATGATTGTTTGGGATGAGAAACGAGTTTGACTCCATTATAATTAAGTTTGCCGGAGTGTTCTGGATGCAACTCCCGAAATTTCTACATCGGTGCCAAGCCCGCGAACGAAATATCCGTAAAATGGCAACTGTAGTGCTTGTATAGCCTACGTTTACATGTGTCCCGTTTGACGGCTGCCCGCGGATGAAATTTCTGTGAAACAGAAGTTTGAAGTGTTCATGCAATGTTGATGTGATGGTAGAACTAATGAGTTGAAGTCTCATTTGGATTGTTAAAGAGATAATGGAATTGGTTGATGCAATGATATGAATGGAAATTGGTACCTTATGATTATATAAAGTGTGGATGTCTCTATCAGTGACATTGTGTATGCATAGTGTACTTATACTTTTGCTAAGTTTCATATATTGTGCTAGATGATTTCTACTGGGCTGTGGCTCACCCTATTTGGGAATAACATTTTCAGGTGTTGGTGACTTACCTCCACCAAGGCAATAGCTTGGAGGGATATTTTCCAGGCAAGAACTTCTTTAATTTGAATTGTATATTTTTGTAAAGCCTAGGGATAAATGTGTATGAAATAGTCTCCTTTTGTGTAACCAAGTCAAGGCTTGAAAAAATGTAAACCAATAGGGCATTTAATTATGTTATAATCATTTGTATTATTAACTTCATGTAATGAAATGACTATTTACTTTGATTCATATTGCTTTTAATACATGTATGGGTTTTATTTATTGTATTTTTTGGGGGGGACGTTACAATCTGAGAGTTATGAATATAGAAAGTATGCAAGTCTGGATTCAACAAAACTACATTAAGTATATCAGTCCAGATCTTAGAACCTCTTCCGTCCAAAGTTGGGAACCATTTCCCATACTCAACATTATATTTTGCGCGGATCACTTCTTTCCAGAGTGTTTGGTTCTCAGCTCCAAATGTCCACCCCCATTTTAGCAATAGGCAGTCATTGAATGTTCTAATCCTCCTTAACCCCAAGCCACCTGGATTCTTATTCTTTGCAATTACTTCCCAACAAACTAAATGCACTTTTTTTCTGAGGTCTGATCCACCTCACAAGAAAGCTGATTGCATTTTCTCAATCTCCTTAGCCAACCCAGCAAGAATCTTGAACAATGATAAATAGTAAACAAGAAGATTGGACAAAACAGACTTGATTAACGTTAATCTCCCGGCAAAAGAAAGTAGTCTTTTCTTCCAATTAGCCAATTTTTTCTTAAAATTTGACAATAACAGGTTTCCAAGTACTTCTCCTACTTGGGTTGACCCCCAACGGCTAACCCAAATACATTATAGGCAACTTTTGGTAGAGGCAATTTCAATTAGAAGCAAACTCTTGCAATAGTCCATCATCAACCCCAACACCACAAATAACACTCTTGTGGTAATTTATTTTCAGCCTCGAGGCCATCTCAAAGCATCTTAAAATTCTTTTAATATTACAAACTTCCTCCCTCTTAGCTTCACAAAACAAAATCGTGTCATCCGCAAATTGCAAATGAGTTACTCTTAAGCCATTTGGCCCCACCTCTACCCCATTGATTAAGTTTAACTCTTTTTCCTCGCTCAGCAATATATTGAGACCCTCTACTGTAATGTTGAATAAAAACGATCATAATGGATCACCTTAATGAAGGCCGCTTTGTAGGCAAAATTCAGGTGTTGGTGACCCATTAACCAAAATAGAGATCTTAGCAAAGGATACATAAGCTTTCATCCAACTCACCCATCTAGATCTGAAGCCAAAGTTTGAGAGCATGTTAAAGAGAAACTCTCAATTGATTAAGTCATAGGCCTTTTCAAAATCCAATTAAGAACCAAACATTTCTTATTGGATCTTTTCCATCCATCAACAATCTCATTAGCTATAAGAATCCCATCCAAAATATTCCGACCACCTAGAAAAGCTGATTGAACCTCAATAATAATCTTGGGCATCACCTGTTTCATCCTACTTGTAGCACCTTTGCTAGAATTTTACACATAGAATCAATCAGACTGATAGGCCTATACTCATCCAAACAAGAGGGACTATCATTTTTAGGAATTAAAGCAATGAAAGAGCTATTAATCCCACCCAATAAACTTGCATTCTGATGAAATTCCCTCATAAATTGTATCATATCAAATTTCACAATTTTTCAACATTTCTTGAAAAAAGCAATGTTGAATCCATCAGGTCCAGGTGCCTTATTTCCATCACGGGTCTTGATTACAGTACTAATTTCCTCTTCAGTAAACTCTACCTACAATTGTTCAACAACTTGTGCTCCTCTAATGTTCTTGAAGTGCCTAGATAAATTAGGTCTAACCTTCCAATCCTAAGAGAAATGCTTTAGAAAGTGAGCCTTCACCTCCGCTTTAATTTCAATAGGGTCCTCTAGCATTGAGTCATTCACAACAATGGAGCATAAAGAATTCCTACTATTCCTGCTACAAGCTGTAATGTGAAAAAATCTTTTATTTTTAACCCCTTCAAGTGCCCAATTCATTCTAGATTTCTGCAACCAAATCCATTCCAACATTTTACTAAGCCTCCAAACATCTCCCCTCACTTCCTTTCTTCTAATTATTTCTGTAGGTAGAAAAGGTCTGTCCTCAGCAAGCAAATCAAGGGCATGAGCTTCTTTTTCAACACACTTAAGCTTATTTTCCACCTTCCCAAATACCTCCACATTCCACTGTTTTAAAGCTTCCTTCTGGGTTTTAAATTTCATGAAGCACTGAAACCCTACCCAACCCTCCAATACAAACCTAGACCAACATCGCTGTGCAAAAGATAGGAAATTAGGATGAAGTAACCAAGCATTGAGGATCTTAAAAGGTTTAGGTTTGCAATGCCTAGCATCCTCCATTAATATAATAGGACTGTAATCAGATAACAATCTAGGTAGGCCCCAAAGTTTGAAATTAAAATTCTTTACCCACTCATGACTGAGTAGAAATCTGTCCAATCTACTCCATTTCGCCCTATCTTGGGAATTACACCAAGTAAACTTCCTTCCAAGCATGGGCATATCGATCAGCTCAAGTTGTTCAATCATATCATTGAAATCTTTCATCCCTCTATCCCTTCTAGAACACCCAATTTGTTCTGAGATAATATTTATTTCATTAAAATCACCCCCCAAGCACCATGGCCCAAGAAATTTGGATTTCAAACTGACTAAAAGATCCCACAACTCTTTTCGAAGCCCCACCTCATTAGGACCATAAACATTAATAATAACGCAATTGAAGCTATAGAAAGAAGAATGAAGATATGATTACAGCAACAAGCTTGCAACTGGAACACCTAAGGTTTCCAAATACACAGCAATCCTCCAGCTCTTCCAACCGCATCTACTACCATGAACTCGATAAACTCCAACATAACACTAAGTTAATAACATAAGAGAGTTGAATTGGCATAAATCTACCATTTTTTAGAAAATTACACCAGTGGGTCCATTGGCGGCTCAAGGCAAGGCAATTTAGGCGCTCGCCTAGGATCCAAGTAGAGAAAGATCTCAATTTTTATATTTTTAGCTTACAGTGTATGTATAAATAAAAGAAAATATCAATCAAAATAATTCTAAAAATTTGAAAAGTAGTCACAAATATTTTTTCAAATAGCTAAAAATTTGTTAAATCTTAATAATTTGCTATAAATTCCAACCCAGAGTTCGACATAATTGGCATCTCAACGACTCCCAATATTCGGCCCTCACAATTGCCCCCCAAGCACTCCACTAATCGACAGTTGGCTGGAGTGTTTGGTTTAGGACTCGAAAAGTTAACCAAAATTCGGCGGCTAACCTCATCCCAACGCGAATGTCTGAGCACACGCTTCTCGATTATCACTTCAACTTCCCGCCCCTTCGTACACTTCTATTTATTGTGATTTAAAATTTGGACGTCTTTTCAAATACATACACACTTTTAGACGCTCGTCGCCGGACTGCCTTCCGAATTACCTCTACAACTTCCTTTTCTTTACTATCCTTCTCGTCTCTTGTAAGTTCTCTCCCTCTCTGCCCTGAATCTTTTATCTTGCTTTGTTTTTGGCTTCGCACGATCCTATAGACTAAAAGAAATGGCAAAAAATTTAAAAGATCTCCTTTCCTCGGATCGAATCTCTGGCTTCCGACGCCAGTTCTCCATTCCTAATGATGTCCGTCTGTCAAGCGACAGACGGCACCCTCGATGTGGAAAGGACTGATGAAACCACGATTGTCTTCCCTCTCCTGTCAATCGCAGAGGGTGGAGTCCGTTTTCCCCTTCACCCATTCCTTAGGGCTGTGCTTTGCCATTGGGGTTTAATCTCTTGCCAACCCAATGTCAACTTTTTTAGAATCGTAATGGGGATTATCGCACTAAACCGTCGCCTTAGGATTAACCTCGGCATTCTTGCTATTCGGCATTGTTATGCGCCAAGTCTTCTGGTCGGCACGGGCATTACTTCCTTAGGGCCAAGGACACTGACCATCAACTAGTGACTATGCTTTCTAGCTCTGGGAAGTGAGTTGATGATGTTATGGTCGTTGTCCAAGGTAGTTGGGAATTCGGCGAAGGCGAGGATCGCCTCAATCCTATCCCTAGACGGAGAGGTGAACCAGGTTGTCGTGCAGCTTCATTTATTTGTTTTTTGTTATATTTATAAAGCTTTATTTTTGAGACCTCATGGTTTTGCTTGTGCAGGGAATGATTTGAAGAAAGCCCTGACTTCAACCGACGACGTCGTTCTTTCGAAAATCAAGGTTGCACTCAGATATTTTGGTCGGCCGAGTCTTTAAAAACAGGGGAGGGCGGCCAACGTTCTTCTCCGCTACGACCCGACTTATACGACCTTCTTGGTGGCAGAAAACATCCCAGTTCCGAAGGGTGAGGAGTTTCTTACCGCCCTTATCTTGACCGATTTCAAAAATTTGAGGCAAGTCGATTTCGAGGGTGTAGACACCCCATTTTTGACCGTCCTCGAGACTTGGACGTCACCGCTTGGAACACTTGGTGATTATCCATGTTCGTGTACGTTTGGAGTTCCCGGACGTCTCGGCTCGCGCGCCCTGCCTCAGGATCTCTGAACTTGACCGTTTAGTGTCTGGTTTCACACCAAACACTTGTGTTTTGCCTTGGAGGGGCAGAGAATGCCTTGTGAGGCATCCCCACATACCACCGGCAGTGGCTAGAGGCCACCGGCTGGTCTTTTGCTTCCATCGGCACTATTTGTTGCCGGTCGGCACATTTTATTGCCGGTCGGCATAGTTTGTTGCCGGTCGGCACTTTTTTTTGTCGAAATAACTTTTTTGGGCAGCCGACCACTGTTCATCTACTTTATGGAGATATTTTGTGCCAGCTGTGATAGCGGGCACCAACTCTGCCTCCCTCCATACACGTGTATGGAGGGAAGTCCCTCTAAGCAAGCTTGTTGTATAAGCTTTGTAAGAGGGAGTCTTATAAGAGGAAGGGCCTTCC